AGTTTACGCACAGGAGCACAATTAAGCCCATGCCATTTCTGGACATCCTGTGTGCTTAACCATTGCTCAGTGCCAGAGGCCAGCTCCGCTGACTCGAGCTTACAAACGATGCGTGGTTCAGCGAGATCATATGAAGAAGAGATGAGACGTGGACCACTGTGGCATGATGCTCATAATGGACAACTCAGAAAAGTTTCCATCTTTATTTATGCACAAACCATCACAAGCTTTTGAACAATATCCAATTGTTTCATTTTTACTTCATGGTTAAGAGAAGACAAAAGCAATCCTAACAAAATATTACTTTACTTCAAAGGAAACATTTTCAACAAACTATTACTCATTCAAACCTGCAGTCACCTGGCTGAAGCCAGGAACTCCTCGGTCGGTCGGCAGCACATGCGGTTACATAGTGACAAGTGGTTTACTTACATTCAAAATCAATTTTTACTAAACACAAACTAAATAATATTGCTTAAAATATTGAGTACAGAATTAAAAGATCATAAATGAAAGGATTTTATAAAAGCATATAACAAATTCTTTGCTAAATCTTATAATCAAATCAAGCATAAATTACTGTCACCTTCACCTAGTGCTGATTCAATTGTTTTTTTGTTCTTAGTGTTGATTTAATTTTTTTTTTTTTTTGTTCTTTTGTTAAAGGGCAGTGAAAGGGATCAGGGCAACTCAGCCAATCTACAGAGAGCCTTTACAAGAAACTTCCTTTTATCTTTATAAACTGTTTTCGTTCCCTAAATATAAGTGCCAGTATAAGGTTGAGATTTTAAGCCATTTTGAGGGGTTCACATTTGTTTCCCTTTAGAAGATGCCCCATATACATTTTGCTTTCTGTGGTGAGAAACTAAAATGCGTCATATCACGTGTTGTAACAGTTGGAGGCACATAGTGAACAAACTCTTTGTACCTCCATCTCTTCCAAGATATTATCAAGCCATTTCTTAAGGAAAACATTACTTATATTAGGGCAAATTTCAGGACAAAAGTGGGCACATAACAGGATGTTTGGAGACATTGTGGGCTCAATTTGTACTATTGTATACTTTTTGCTGTGTGTCATAGCCTTACATCGCTAAAGATGTTTTTATCATAACATGATGATTGATCAATTTGAGGTGTTATACCAGTTACAGGAATCATTTCACATTTGCAGAAAAACAACAACACCACCCTCAGAAAAATTCTGTGAAACATCAGAGAGGTGATTGTCCATACAATGCAGCCAAAAACTCCTCATAGCCTTGCTAACTGAGGAGCGGTGCTCATCACACACCCATGCCATCTGACCCAACTGCATGGCTCCCCACAGCTCAGAATCTGGTCCAGACATGTAGCACACCTTCTGGGCAAGGGCTTGATAAATATCGTAAATATTAATGAAAGTGATGGGAATATAAGCTGAAACTGCTATGGTGATAAATAGAGTTACTGTGACTTTAAAGGTTAGCCTGTCTTTCCAATTTTTTTGGAGCAAGGAAATGTATCTGTTTTAGCCTCTTATATAATTTTTTGGCTAGAGGAAATCAAGAATGCCTTCATTAATATTATGGAGCTATGTTTTTAATTATTGTTCGATTTTTCATGGGGCTATAGCGCCTGTAATTGTTGGCGTATTTAATACTTGAAACTTTTGTCTGGATTTTTATGTTGTTTTCCCTTATGACATATTTCTCCCATTAAATGATGGACAATTTTGGAAATAGAAATGTGGTAGGAATGTATTACTGATTAGCAGGTAATCGCATGTGCCTTGGCCTTGGAGTCCTGGCTCTGGCCCAATGACTACTACTGAAGAATAATGGCTTGCTTTGAAGAAAATGATTATGATAACTTACAGAATTATCTTTAAGAGCACCTGGTTGGCCATGAAGTAAAGAATAAAATAAACATCTGTGCATACCAACTTAGTCATGAAGTAGAAATAGAACAATCAAACGTTTGTACAGAGACTCATGATGTGGCTGGGTAAATACAAAGAAAGCTTCTTAAGCTGTTACAGGAGGGCACCAAATGACAGTGTCCCTGGCTTTTCTTTTTGCTGACTCCAAACACCCTTCTCGAGTCGGCTGGCACTGGCCTCCAGCAGCTCCTAGCTTCGAACTGCCTCAGTTCAGGCCACTGTGCCTGCTTGAGGAATACATCAATGAACCAAAGATCTTCCTCTCTGGAAAAAAATAAAAAGATTTTCCACTGCTGGTTCACTCCTTAGTTGGCAACAATGTCTGGAGCTGAGCCAATCCAAAGCCAGGAGGTAGGTGTTGGGAGCTTTTCCCAGGCCTCCCATGCAGGTGCAGGCTCCCAAGCAAGCATACCAGTGCCCGTATGGGATCCCTGCAGATGCATGGCAAGGACTTTAGCCACTAGGGTACCATTCCAGGCCCCATTCTAATTTTTTTTTTTTTTTTTAAGATTTTTGGATTGGAATCGCTTCGTGGGCTTTTGGCTAAGATCAAGTGTAGATTTTTTTTATTATTATTGGAAAGTCAGATATACAGAGAGGAGGAGAGACAGAGAAGATCTTCTGTCCAGTGATTCACTCCCCAAATGACTGCAATGGACAGAGCTGATCTGATCCGGAGCCAGCAGACAGGAGCTCCTCTGGGTCTCCCACGCGGGTGCAGGGTCCCAAAACTTTAGGTCATCCTCAACTCCCAGGCCACAAGTAGGGAGCTGGATGGGAAGTAAGGCTGCTGGGGCATGAACTGGCATCCATATGGGTTCCCAGCATGTTCAAGGCAAGGACTTTAGCCACTAGGCTACTGCGCTGGACCCCCTTCTTAATTTTTAAAGTAAAAATTTGGAATACCTTTCCCCAACAGATACTCACTTTAATCTGGAAAGTAAAGTGTCTCAAACAGAAGTGCAACCTGTGTGGTATCATCCTGGAGAGCACCAGTGGAAAAAAGGAGATGTTAAGCTCTTGGACCAAAGCTGTGCTCTTGTATTTTCAAATTCGCAGGAATTTACCAGTTTTGGTGGCTGCGACAGTGCCATGAGCAAGAGGAAATGCCCAGACCAGGAGCCACTGGAGGGGGAGAAGAAAACAGAGACCACATCGACAGATGCGGCGTGTCAGACAACGGAAAAGGCTCGGCTTCCTACCTGGGGTCAGATAAAGAAGCTGACATTTCAAGGGACAGAGGTGGTGCAGAGGACTGGACAAGAGCTGACTCCGGAAACGCTTTTCCTGGCAATGCTAGCTATCACCACGATGTCCTCTACTTTAGACAATGTGAGTAATCACACGTGTGTGTTCATGTTTCATGCTATCCCTGCGTGCTGAGGTCACGCTATAGCTGTGTATGTTAGTGATTCTACATGGCTTCTGGGTCTTTTTTATGAATGAGGGCCATTAATACCCAAGCAAGAAGGAACTTTTTTTTTTTTAGATTTAATTATTTTTATTGGAAAGGCAGATATGTAGAGAGGAGAGAAAGAGAGGAAGATCTTCCGTCCAATGATTCACTCCCCAAGCGGCCGCAATGGCTGGAGCTGAGCCAATCAGAAAAGCCAGGAGCTTCTTTTGGGTCTCCCACATGGGTAAAGGGTCCGAGGCTTTGGGCCATCCTTGACTGCATTCCCAGACTACAAGCACGGAGCTGGATGGGAAGTGGGACTGCCCATGTGGGATCCCTGTGCATTCAAAGCAAGGACCTTAACAGCTAGGCTATTGCCCTGGGCCCAAGAAGGAACTGTTCTTCAGGAGAGTATGAATTAGTCTCAGAGGGAGTTCCGATATTGCATTGGGGCTGGAGATCATTGCCTATAGCTTGAGGGGCAAGCATGGATGACAGTCCTGAAAGATAAAATCAGTAAGAATACTGGACAGGCTCTTTACAAGTTAAGTGTGATTGGAACTTAAGTTTGTGTAACACACTTAAATAGAAATCTTGAGTAGAAATCTTTGAATAGAAATATTGCCCTTGAAATCTTTTCCCTTAGAATACAATTAAGCATCATCTAAAAAACCGTAGCAATGTCAATGCTGAAATTGCAGAGTTAGATGCTTCAATTTCTGAAATTTTTAAAAACAATCAAAACCAATTTCTGGTACTCAATTACTAGAAAGCATTGCCAATGGCATTTGTCTTTACATCCCTTTGCTATTTGTTTTGGGGGTTCGTGATTGCTATTTACTTTTTTACTAATTCTTGTTTGCTAATATTGTCTTTATATAGTCTGGAGACGAATCTTCCGAATCCAAACCATAAGTCATCATCAACATGCAGTCACTGCAACCATGCTTTAGAAAATGAGAGAAAGAGGGAGAGCCTAGAGAGGGAGAGAAAGGAAGAAAGACCTTCTGTCCACTGGTTCACTCTCCAAGTGGCCCTGCCTTCGGATTAGCTCAACTCGGGTTGTCATGGCTATTTGGCGAGTGAATCAGTAGATGGAAGATCTTCACCTCCGTTTCTCCTTCTCTCTGTAAATCTACCTTTATACAAACCATCTAGGGATTTGTAGTTTCCCCCCTGCCAGCTTTGGGATTGTCTCGGCACAACACAGTCTATGTGCTCCAGTACTGTTGTCTTAGTTCGTTTTCAGGAACCTAGGCTCAAAATCCTGCAGCTTTTGCTCCCTTGGTGAGACAGGCCCCCTTCTTCCCTTCACTGTACCCCCTCTGCCCCTCAGAAGGGCCCTTCTTGACCTCCCAGTGACTGTGCCAGGGCGTGCCAGGGCCGCCCTCCGAGGTGCCCCGGAATCCACGCAGGAAACTTGAAACAAAAATAACTGGTATTTGAGTTAGCCCTTATTTTTAATGACGCGGGGAAGTCTGTTTTGTTCTTTTTCTCTCCTATTTTAGGGGGTGCTAGGCCTCCAGATCCTGGTTCGCAAGCACCCCGCGGGGATCACCAGGGCGGCGGGAGCGGGAGGCGGGGCCAGCCGGGCGACAAGATGGCGGCCGCCGGCGTCCTTCCGCCCGCCCCGCCCGGCCCCGCCCGGCCCCGCCCTCCGGCCGCGCGGCCTGACGGGAGGCCGAGCCGCGAACGACGGGGTCGGCCATTTTGTGTCTGTTTCCTGTGGGACGCGGTGGTAGCCGTTGGGCCGGGAAACCGAGCGCTTATTTTATTTATTATTATTTTTTTAAAACTTTGCTTTTTCTACCTCTTGACTTTTCCTTCCCTAATTTGTCGGTAGAGAGCGAAGAGGAGAATGGGTCGCAAGAAGAAGAAGCAGCTGAAGCCGTGGTGCTGGTATCCTTTGTTGGCTGGAAATCGAGGCCGGGCGGGCGGTGAGGGTGGCGGCCCCGCGCCCGGGAAGGCCCTGGGCTCTGGGGACGGGGGACGGGGGTGGTTTCGAGGCTGGGATGGTGTTGGGGAAGGACGTCGAGGGCTTCGGGGCGCCCGGGGAAGCGGCCTGGACGCCCACCCCACCTTGAAGGGCAGCGTCCCCTCGGGGCTGCCGCCTCCGACTCCCCCTCGTGTGGTGACGAGACGTTTCCGGAGTGCGGAGTCTTCCTGACTCACCCGGCCTCACGCTGGCGGAGTCGGGGCTTCGGGGCCGTCGCCTCCCCGGCCCTGCCTCGGACCCTTCCCGGGCTTTGGGGCACCAAAAAAAAAATAGTACATTTCTTTACACCCCCCCCCCCCCAAATTTTTAAAATGTTTTTTAAGTGTATTTATTTATAGTCACTAAAAACCAACTTTTAAATCGGTCACGAATTTTGTGCTTTTTCGGAATGTCGAAATGGTGAAGTAAGATTTCACAGCTCGACTGAACTCCTGCATGAGTTCGGGTACGTTCTTCAGTTAGCCAGCCCGATTAATTGGGAGTTGCACTCGACTTGGCGGATTGTTCGCTTGAGATTCTATATCATTGTTCACACCGTGAAGTTAAGCTTAGGTTCTAAATATCACTGAATTCTTAGGGTTATTTTTGTTGGCCCAAAGCTGTCGGTCGAGCTCGGTCATGAAATTAGTTTAGTCCTGACATAAAATTGGGGATTTCTTAATCAAACGTTTTCTGTCCCTGATATATTTGTTAGTATTGAATACAAAAAACCCCAACATATCTGCAATAACACTGGAACATAAAATGTGTTGCTGATGACAGAAATGTGCTAGCTTAGGTAGGACTAGTGAAGAAGTCCTTCTGAGAAATTGAAAATGCTGACATTATGGCAAGTGGGATCTCTAATTGTGTGATAAATATCAAAAGCAAGGACTATAGGACTGCTTGGGTTTTAGTTGGTTTATGTGTTGATTTATTCCTATTCTCATATGATTCATTTAATATGTATTTTTATTAAGCTACTTTGGTGCCTTAACGGTATTAATTAGGTATTGTAACAGAGATTTTGATGATGAGAAGATCTTGATACAGCATCAAAAAGCAAAGCATTTTAAATGCCACATATGTCATAAGAAGTTGTATACTGGACCTGGCTTAGCTATTCATTGCATGCAGGTAATATACTTTTGACTGTTTAAAATTTGTTAACTTGGCAATTTCAGCTTGTACTCTTAAAGTTCTCCTTGACAACTGAGATTCTTGATTTCTTGAAACTGATAACTAGATAGCTGTAAAATATATATATAGTATCAAGAAGGTAAATCGGCTGTTTTTTCCTTGCCAAGACTTGCCTATTTAAAAGTCTAGGTCAGAGGGAGAGACAGATGCTTCCATCTGCTGGTTCATTTCCCAAATGCCCTTAGTGACCAGCTATGGGCCAGGCTGGAAGTAAGACAGGAACTCCATCTTTTTCTGCCACTTTTGGCTGGCATCTGAGTGTTGGGCCACCATTTACTGCCATTGCAGACACATGAACAGGAAACTCACAATCCCAGAAATTTGCACCTGTACAAGGGATGTTTCAGATGTAGTGTGTTTACTTAATTAAGCAGTATTGGCCCTTTTATTTTTAAGCTGTGTCTAATTTGCTTTTAAGATTTATTCAGTTTTTATTGGAAAAGCAGATTTACAGGGAGGAGAGACAGAGAGGTCTTCCCTCTGCTGGTTCACTTCCCATATGGCCACAATTCTAGAGCTGTGGAATCCAGGGACCTGGGGCATCATCCTACACTGCATTCCCAGGGCACAAGCAGGGAGCTGGATGGGAAGTTGAGCAACCAACCTGGACACCCATATGGTTTTCTAGCTCTTGTAGGTGGAGGACTAGCCAATTGAGCCATTGTACAGGCTCCTGGCTTTCCAGTATATGCTGGGTGTTTGGGATATTTGGGGATGAAGGAGCAGATAGCAAGTCTGTTTCTTTGCCTTTGAAATGAAGCGAAATCGGTGAATGTAAATTTGTGCACATTCCTTTTATCCAGTTATGGTGAGAATACTGGATTAATATTTGAGAGTCTGCTACATGCTACACTCAGGTAGTTATAGATAGCTATTTAAATTGAAGATTAAAAATTCCATTTCCTTCTTTGGTAGGAAACACATTTTAGTAGTGGTAGTTGCATGTGGTCACCGTTGACTGTTGAGATACGGCAGATAGGGAACACTTGTGAATCACAACAAGCTTCTATAGGACAGTGCTGTTGTGCCACTTAACAATTTAAGGTGTTTAGATATACAACAGAAAATTTTTAAAAGTCTACCATTGTGAATTGTAGAGTTACATTGTGGAGGAATGTACTTTATAAATATTTGATTTATCTTAAGTATTAACTAAAGCCAAAAACTAAACAGATGGGATGCATAGGAGGGCTGTGAACTCCTGAATGAGAAGTTGACAGCTGAGCAGACATTTGGAAGGAAATGTAGTTTCCGATCAAATGGGGAAGCGTTCACATCAGGAGTATTCTAGATGGAAGCACCTTGTGCCCACTGGCTAATGTGGGCCGTTTTCTTTAGATTTTAATTCTGGCAAAGTGCAGTGGAAGGAGTTGAGGCTTAGAATATTCCAGGTAGGAGTTGAGTATCACAAAGACTGGATGGAGTTTATTAATTGCTTAGATGTGTGGGGAGTGAAAGTGGGGATTAAAGATGATTGGCATTTAACATGTGACTAACAAAATTAAATACTGAAGAATAGGCTTAGAGATGAAGACAACAGAGGTAGTGTTGTGTAACTTTGAGGAAGACTTATGAAGTGTTCAATGGACTTGGTAGAAATTTGGGAACATACTGTACAAAAATGGCTGATATAAGCTGTGATATGAGATTAGTTGATCCTCTCTAGGAGCATGGTTGAATGAGAAAGAGGTCTCTGTCCTAGGCTACTACTACACTTGATCTTAGCCAAAAGGCTCAGAAGCGATTATCCCAGGCTACAACTAACCAGGTCAGAATATGAAAAGGAACTCATCAAGAGATAGAGTCGTGTTCTGGGATCCCAGTGAACAGTTTTCAAGGAGCAAGTAATGGTACTGAAACTTCTCATTAGTTCTTGCTCCTGTGTTTTTAGCCTTAGCCATGTGACTTCTCATTTGGGCTGGGTGTGTGAAATATAGCTTTGTCTGTGCTTTAATGGTAGGCTTCTTTTTTGTTGTTGTTTTTAAATGTTAGGTACATAAAGAAACAATAGATGCTGTACCAAATGCAATTCCTGGAAGAACAGACATAGAGTTGGAAATATATGGCATGGAAGGTATTCCAGAAAAGGATATGGATGAAAGACGACGACTTCTTGAACAGAAAACACAAGGTAAAGATTAACCTGTGTTCATTACACATTTTTCAGTTCTCAGGTGCAAATGAAATGGTAGATTTATTCAGAATTCCAATTTCTAAGGTTTGTTTTTCCTTTGAATCTTGTGATTATTGTTGTTGGAATTGGAAATTGAAGTTGTGTATTATTCATATTGGTAGAAGGTGTTGTTTTTCTGTTTTATATATATATGTATATATTTTAAAGATTTATTTATTTTTATTACAAAGTAAAATATACAGAGGAGGAGAGACAGAGAGGAAGATCCTCCGTCCAATGGCTCACTCCCCAAGTGAATGCAATGGCTGGATCTGCGCCAGTCCGTAGCCAGGAAGTTCTTCCAGGTCTCCCACACCGGGTGCAGGGTCCCAGTGCTCTGGGCCGTCCTTGACTGCTTTCCCAGGCCACAAACAGGGAGCTGGATGGGAAGTTTAGTCACCGGGATTAGAACCGGCGCCCATATGGTATCCCGGCACATTCAAGGCGAGGACTCCAGCTGCCAGGTCATGCTGCCAGGTCCTATATTTGTTTATTTGAAAGGCAGAACTTACTGAGAGAATTGTGGTGAGAGACAGAGACTTTCCATCAGTAAATTCCCTCCCCAAGTGACTGCAGTGCTGAAAGCAGAAGCCAGGAGCTGCTTCAGGTCTCACATGGGTATAGGGGGCCCGAGGACCTGGGTCAGCCTCTACTGTTTTCCCAGGCGCATTAGCAGATAGTTGAGTCAGGAATTGATCTATCAGGACTTGACCTAGTGCACAGTTTTGGATTGGTGGCAACGCAGGTGACAGCTTAATTCATTACAGCATGGTGTCAACCTCTTCCACCCCCCAACCTCGCATAACATTTTGTTTACTTGTTTGAAAGAGATCTTCATTGGTTCACTCCCTAAACTCCTAGAACAGCCAGGCTGAGTTGTGCCAGGCTCAAGCTAGGATCCAGGAGCTCTACCTGGATCTCCTACATGAGTGGAAAGAACTAAAGTATTTGAGCTGTATTCTGCTGCCTTCCCAGGCACATTATCAAGACGCTTAATCAGGAGTGAGTAGCTGAGACTGAATCATTCACTCCCAATATGGATGTTGTGCATCCTGTAGGAGCTGTCAATCACCTTTGAACTGCCCCCCTAAAAAAAGCCAAAATCTTTGTCATTGTTTATACCAATTGTGGTGGAATAGACAGTTATTTTCAAAATTACTCAGGATAAGCATTTTTCCTATTGTAGGATAGGGGTAGGATGCCAACATAAATTAAGAAGTGTAGTTTTGGAAAAAACAAAATCTGAAATACGTTGCTTTAGTGTTGACTTTCATAAGCATGATTAGATTTTTTGGGGGTCTCTGTGGAAGAGTTAATTAAAACTTTTTTTAGCAGAGAGTCAGAAAAAGAAGCAACAAGATGATTCTGATGAATATGATGATGATGATTCTGCAGCCTCAACGTCATTTCAACCACAGCCTGTTCAACCTCAGCAAGGTTATATTCCACCGATGGCGCAGCCAGGACTGCCACCAGTTCCGGGAGCACCAGGAATGCCTCCAGGTAGCACATGAGATTTCTTAAAAGTTGGCACTCTTAGAAGTTACTGATATGAACCTACTGAACTCTTTAATATTTCCGATTTTTTGGACATTCTTATTTGTAGGCATACCTCCATTAATGCCAGGAGTTCCTCCACTGATGCCAGGAATGCCACCTGTTATGCCAGGAATGCCCCCTGGGTAAGAAACCTTTCAGTTTCCATGCAGGCTTGTGCCTAGTAATGATCATTACTGCTTGGGTATTACATGAATGTATGAAATATTATATGTTTTTTGCTGCTACAAGGAATGGGCTTTATTAGTCTTACGTTTGGCGCATAAAGGGTCAAATGCTGAAAATGCAAGTTTGCCTTGGAGGACAATAGATTGTGGGTCTCAGGATATGTGTAGGCAGTCATCTGCTTCAACTGCATTTGCCTTATTTAAAGTAGTTGTAGGCTTGAGTTTGAGGTTTCAGAACTCTGACACTTCGTGGTTGTTACAAGAAAACTCTTAAATGATTTATTTGTTGAAGCATCAGAAACATTTTATATGAGGTGCTCTTGCCCATCACTTTAACTTAAATATTGTTGGATATGAGAGGTATACAATACACTTTCCCACTGTATTTTGAAAATCACAGTTAGATTTTGATTTTGTCATACATTTTCACAGATTGCATCATCAGAGAAAATATACCCAGTCATTTTGCGGTGAAAACATGTAAGCATCTCATTCATAATGTAATTCAGGAAGTATAATGATGTCATTTTTTGTGTGTGTTTAATGGTATCTATTCACTTGACTTCAGAAGTTGTCTAAGCATTCTCCCCTAAAACTTGAAATTTGCAAAAATTTACAAACTGATTAATAACATCTCTTGAAGGAAATAAAACTTGTGAGGGGATAATTACATCCATTAAAAGACTTGGTAAAACAGTTAGTATTTGGAGACTATATTTGGAGAATATATATTTTCTTCAGCCAAATTACATGCTTCATTTTTTTACAATAAAAATTGTCTTTCTCATAAAACCCAAAATTAAAGTTGACATGCATATGATTTTAAAGTGAATTGGATGCTGGTATTTGAATATGAGCACCTATAAGGGTAAGAAAATACAGGTTAAAGTTATGCAGCACCGTAGTTGTTATTGGAAAAAAAAAACCTGTTCTGTTAGAGTTTGATAGTCCTGTTCTTACCTGCTCCAAAACAAAAACATGTTATCCAATAGTGCACATTGGTGATTTTCCTTTGAAAAGTCAACAACTGTACATTGCTTCCTTTTTGTTTATGTTTTGTGTGAATATTTTCCAAATGAAATCCAAGGTGGTTTTTGCTTTCTAATTGCACATATTTTATATGAGGCCTCCTGTTAATATCTTAAGGGAAGTACAGTACTTTTCTTGCTGACTTTTTTTTTTCCTCCAAAAATTAGGTTTATTAGTAAACTTAGAATTTTGGTTTGTAGAAGATTTATTTTTGTATAGCATAATTGTACATAATTATTGGGTTATAAGTGCGATCATTTCATCCTTGGTGCCGTGTGTAATAACCAAGTTAGAGTTAATAGTATTTATACCAAAGGATTGCTTTTGATAGGATTGTTGTAGTGTGTGATATACTCTTTCAGCTTGACTGGTTTCAACATAAGGGATCTCTTGTCTAGTATTATTTCAGACCTTAGCCAAGACGTTTTCTAATTTATGCTGTAATTAACTTCAGTTTCCTGATATTTCCTTTTTAATAGAATGATGCCAATGGGTGGAATGATGCCACCTGGACCAGGAATACCACCTCTGATGCCTGGTATGCCACCAGGTATGACATCTTAGGCAATTTTCTTTTAAATATGATGAACTTTATACTAAATTTCTTTTAAGAATTTTGTTTGAAAGAGTACAGATTGCTGCTTTGGACAGACCAAATCCAGGAGCTTCATTTAGTTCTTCCCTTTGGATGGCAAAGACACAACAGTGGGTCACTTCCATTGCTTTTCCCAGCCACTATCAGGCCAATAGATGTGAGGAAGAACCACTGTGACACAAACCTGGGCCTATGTGAGATCACTGGTTGCAACTTTGCCAGTTGTGCCAAACACTTTAGACAGTAGATATGTGGGCATTGGTGTGGTCTAATGGCGCTTGCATTTGGCCTGGCTATTAACTTCGTAAGTCAGCTGAGATGAACGAATCCCAGAGAACAGTGACTCTAGCTCTGGATCTCAGCTTCCTGCTAATGGAGACTCTGAGAAACAGTGTTAATGGCTCTAGTACTTGAGTTTCTGATGCTTTCAGTGAAGACCTGCCTTATTTCAGCTCTTTGGGGGATAAGAGGGAGCAGTCATTACTGCATTTGTGGGGCTTCCTCAAATAAAAATAATAATTATTATTGGGGTTGAATTCAGTAATAAAATGATACAGGCTTTGAAATTAGTCATAGAGCTTAGCACTGAAGCTTAGATGCTTTATTCTTCAGTAGTTTTAATTCTTTTTTTTTTTTTAAGATTTATTTATTTATTGGAAAGTCAGATATACAGAGAGGAGAGACAGGAAGATCTTCTGTCTGATTATTCACTCCCCAAGTGAGCGCAACGGCCGGTACTGTGCCCATTTGAAACCAGGAGCCAGGAACTTCTTCCATGTCTCCCACACGGGTGCAGGGTCCCAAGGCTTTGGGCCGTCCTCAATTGTTTTCCCAGGCCACAAGCAGGGAGCTGGATGGGAAGTGGAGCTGCTGGGTGGGATTAGAACCTGCGCCCATATGGGATCCCAGTGCGTTCAAGGCGAGGACTTTAGCTGCCAGGCCACACTGCTGGGCCCAGTAGTTTTAATTCTTAAGGAGTACTTTAGGAAAATAGTAGAGAGTATTTGGATGGGAAAGGCAGACTTACTGAGATGAGATCTTTCCATCTCCATTTCATTCCCCAAATGGCCTCAGTGGTTGAAACTGAGCTTTAAATCTTCAATTAAAGAAATGAGTTATTTTGATGCAAGAACTTACAAAGGGGAGAGAATATGTGGGCACAAAGAATTTTACTACTTGAGAATATCAGACTTGCTTTTTGTTTAAAAAAAAAAATTGTTTTTGGTTTTGTGTATTTTTATTGGAAAATCATGTGCAGAGAGAGACAGATTCTTTCCCCAAGAAGCCACAATGGTCCAAGCTGAGCCGATTCAAAGGCAGGAGCCTCTTGTGGGTCTCCCACATGGGAGCAGGGTCCCAAAGTCTTAGTCCTTCCTGGGCTGCTTTCTGAGGCCACAAACAGGGAGCTGGATGGGAAGTGGGCAGGCAGCTGGGATTAGAATTGGCGCCCGTATGGGATCCTGCGGCATGCAAGGCAAGTAGTTTAGCCAATAAGCTACCAGCTGAGTCCTTTTTGAAGAAACTTACAGAGGAGGAGATAGAAATTTTCTGTCTACTGGTTCATTCTGCAGATGGCTGGATTTGAGTCTTTGCCTTCCGTGTACCCAGATCCCACGTGGGTGACTGGTTCATGTCCTGGCTACATTTATTTAACAGCTCCCTGCTTGTGGCCTGGGAGAGCAATTGAGGACATCCCAAAACCTTGGGACGCTGAACCAGTGTGGGAGACCTGGAAGAACTTCCTGGCTTCCGATCAGCTCATTTCCAGCCGTTTTGGCCACTTGCGGAGTAAATCAGTGGACGGACGATACTTCTGTCTTTCCTTCTCTATGTAAATCTGCCTTTCCAATAAATAAAAGTGGAGCAGTTAGGACATCGAGTGTTTGCCTAATCGGATGTTGGTGCTGCAGGCTGAGGGCTATCTTCTTGAGCCACCATGCTGACCTTGAGATTTAGTTTGTATTTCATGGCATATTTGGAAATGCTGAAGGAACAGTTGATACATGACAACAGGGACAAAACAAAGTAGCAGTAAAATTGAAAACAAAAATGCAGCCATTCTTAAGAAAGGCTTCACATATGTGATGCTGTGGTGTTTTGATATTTAATAAATAAAAAAATGTCTATTTGTTGTGAAGCAGGATTTAAGTTGTATAAATGATCAGTAAGATTTGGGTAGTTTTATTTCGTGTGATTACAGGAATATGTGTGAGAAAAATAAATTATTTAAGTGGCCTGTGTTGTGGCATTACTATTAGAGCCGCTCCTTTCAGTACTTGCATCCTATATGGGCACTGGTTCAAGTCTCCGCTGCTCCACTGATGCCCCTCTTGCTGCTCCTGTGCTTGGGAAGGCAGGGGATGGCCCAGGCGGCTCCTTCATGCACATGGGGAGCCAAAAGCAGCTTCTGATTTCAGTCTGGCTGAGCCCTGTGGTGGCTGTGTGGGGAGTTAATCAGCAGGTGACAGAATTGTCCTTTCCCTCTCCTCCTCTATAACTGTGCCTTTCAAATAAATAAGGTAAATTTTACTGGAGGAGAAATAATACCCCATCTGCCAGTTCTCCGATGTAATAGATGAATGAAATAATTCTCATTTGTATATTTCAGTGTTTGCCAAAGCAGTGGCGTTAGCCTAGTTGCTGTACCTAGTGTTGTTTTGCACTTGCTAAGTGTGACACAGATGAACATCGGGAGCAGGTGTCGTGGTACACTAGACTCAACTTCTGCCTTTGGTATTAGCATCAAAAACTGACTGCTCCAGTTCCCTCCTTTTAGGGCCTGGGAAAGAAGAAAAAAGACATTTAGAGGCATGATTGCTGGGGGAGAAAAACCCAAGTGTTTCGGAGGTTGAGGGTTTTTCTTTTGTTTTTTTCCCTCCTCTTTCTGAAGTAAATGTTTAAGGAGCTATCTGTGCAATCTTTTCCTTAGGTATGCCTCCCCCTGTCCCACGTCCTGGAATTCCTCCAATGACGCAAGCACAGGCTGTTTCAGCACCAGGTATTCTAAATAGACCACCTGCACCAACAGCAACAGTCCCTGCACCACAGCCTCCAGTAACCAAGCCTCTTTTCCCCAGTGCTGGACAGGTAAGGTAAAATTCCTGAAAAGGAATTGCACTTACATTTACTTTAAGTGTAAAGTGCAGTAGCTTATAGAAATCTTAGAAATTGTCTCATTTTTTGTTAGTTGTACTAAACATAATGAAATTGGTATATCTTCTGTGTTTAGACAGATTCATTTCCTCTCATAAAAGATATTGGAGCCAGTGGATTTTTTTTACTCTCTAGTAATATTCTTTTATGATTTGCTTATTAAAGATTTTTCACTTACTTGAAGAGGCAGAGTTGTAGAGAGGTTTTCCATGTGCTGGCTGTCTTGAGTTGAGAGCAACAGCTGGAGTTATGCCAGACCAGGTCAGAAGCTTGAAACTCCATCTGGGCCTGAGCTCATTCACTCAGGCCATTTTCCTATACTTTCTCCAGTGTCTTAGCAGGGCACTGGATTGGAACTGGAGCAGCTGTAGTACAAACTGGCACAGATGGCATGCCTGTGTCACCGGCAGTGGCTTAACTCATAACCCGCTGCGCTACAACATTAACCGGAATTTCAAGGGTTTTAAATATATGATGACATTGGAAGATCCTCCAATAACCTATTGGATTTAGTGGCATGAGACCAGAATCAAATGTATCATTTCTTAGGCTATTCCTCTAAAAATAGTGGTAGACTATATTGCAGTATTCTGAAACAGCATTCTGTGACGGTTTTGTCCTGGTCAAACTTGTGTTTCCTGGTGGTTTTGTCTCCCAAACTTTTAAAATGCCACACAACATAAATTTGGCTTGTCCCATGAAATATGAATATAATGATTGAAACTTTTCTGTTTTATTCAGAATTAAGACTAGGACGTATATTTATTGTGTAAGCTTTTTTGTAGCTGATGTTTCCCTTTTTCAACCTTGTATTTCTTGCTTATGGATATTAAAGACATGTATGATTACCTTTTACTTAAGGGAGAGTGAAATTTTGTTGATATTAAACTTTGACAAAATCTTGTAGAGTTATTTGTACAAGAATTGAATTGCAGTGTCACTATTAATGAACTTGTACTGTCAGCTTAAGGTACCATTCTTTAGAAATCAGAATACAAAACATATTAGTTCTTTAAAAGAAATTACGGTTAACTGACGTTTGTTGGTATATAAATTAAACAAAAAATTTAGGCTGTTGCTGTCACTGTTGTAAATGCTTTAATTGCCAGCCTCTGAGTCACAATTGATTGCATTACATTTTGCTGTTACAAAAGATGCAATCTGTACTAAAAAGTCTACCACATGGCTTCTTTTCACCCATTGGTTTGGAGACTTTTCATTGTTTCCTTTCTTTTATGCTACAGATGGGGACACCTGTAACAAGCTCCAGTACAGCTTCATCCAATTCAGAAAGTCTGTCTGCATCTTCTAAAGCTCTGTTTCCTAGCACAGCACAAGTACGCAGGAAGTGGCAGTTTAAAATTGTTAAAATGGCTGTATAAACTTAACCCTTTGGACCCTACCTAAAAACTGAATCATTCCACAAAATGTTTAGTTTTTAAATGTAAAATTAATGACGCTAATCAAAAGTTCAATTTTTTAAAAATTTTGAGTTCATACTAACAACCAAAATGTAGTATAAACTTATGGCTCTAAAGGGTTAAAAGCATGTAAGCAGTAAATGCGTTATAGTGGTCAATGATTAGCTGATGCATGTTTAAGCTGTTTTGATTTATGCTGTTTAATGCATCACATTGATATACGGAAATGAGTGCTCTGCTTTTGGTTATAAAGTTGACCTAGTATACGTGGTTAATGTTTGGTGTTAGAAAAATAACACATTACTATTGATATATTTTACTTAAAAGAGCCTGCTGAATTTAACCCTTTTGTCCATGATAAACACCTGGCCATTGCTAATTCAGAGGGAATTGCATTATAATTTATAAATAGTTCTAAAAGACATTTCTGTATTTTGTCACTAACTATTCATGGGATGTGTAGTCCACACTTGTATTTGTAGTTATTTTTGAGCTGCTTGTTACATTAATTACTTTAAGCAACAATTTAAAACATTAGAAATGGAGCACATGCTATTATGATATGTGATGCCATATCTCAGCAGTTTAGAATAATTAATACAAAGTACTATAAAATTTTGGGTGAGGAGGTGGAAGACATCTGAGAATGTAACATTTGCTGTCCCTTGTTTCCACTGCTGAGATGTTGACTAAATGTCTTCATTATCTTGTGGATTACCTTGGATTTTGTGGAATATTATCATTTCACTTTTTGTTAATTTTATGTGAAGTTTTGTTGGTGGTGCCTTGTTTATACTTTAATCTGGATGTAAAATTTGTTACAGGATTTTGGAATTTTGTTGATGAAGGGTTGTATTTTACAGGCTCAGGCAGCGGTTCAAGGACCTGTTGGTACAGATTTCAAGCCCTTAAATAGTACCCCTGCAACAACTACAGAACCCCCAAAGCCTACATTCCCTGCTTACACACAGTCAACAGCTTCAACCACTAGTACAACAAACAGTACTGCAGCTAAACCAGCGGCTTCAATAACAAGTAAGCCAGCTACGCTAACAACAACCAGTGCAACCAGTAAGTTGATCCATCCAGATGAGGATATATCACTGGTAAGTTTTCTGGTTTTGATTTATTTTTTTCTGAATTTTAAAATTTTTTACTAGCAGTGTCTGGAGAATCCATGGTAGAATTTTTGTACCTTTGAAAAGCGTTAGTTTTATTCAGCTTGTTAATCTGACTTAATTATTAAGTGGTTTTTATCCTTATTTTTAAGAAAATGTGTAAGCCAGATGAATCTGAGTGTACGGTCTTGGAAGCAACCCCCTTCCGCAGTTTCTACAATGTAGTGAATTGAATTCTTCTTTATACATCATTTTGGTTAGAAATAAATTTATGTGCATTAAGATTATGTGTTGGTTGGATTTTACAAATACCTGGAACCCAAATCAAGGAGTTTGTTTGCTAGAAGGAATATTCCAGAGCTTGGTAGCATTCCAGTGGGCACTGTTTTGATAAATCAGTTTATCATTTTTGTGAAGCCAAAAGTACATTTTAGCGAAATAAGTATAAAATTTTAAATAGAAAGTTTATATGCTTGATTTTATGAACAATATAACTCTGCATTCAAGCACTTCATGCTGTGCTCACTTTCACTTTCAGGAAGAGAGAAGGGCACAGTTACCTAAATATCAACGTAATCTTCCTCGACCAGGCCAGGCTCCCATTGGTAATCCGCCTGTTGGGCCCATTGGAGGTATGATGCCACCACAGCCAGGCATCCCCCAGCAACAAGGAATGAGACCCCCGATGCCACCTCATGGTATTGATGTTTTTATGTTTCATTGAGTGAATTTTCTGAGAAACATAAAATAATGAAAATTTATCTGCAACAATATATTGTATTTTGAAATATGGTGTAGAGCCAACTCAGTGTTTTTCTCTGTGTTTTAACTGTTTTTTAGGTCAGTATGGTGGTCATCATCAAGGCATGCCAGGCTACCTTCCTGGTGCTATGCCACCATATGGGCAAGGACCGCCAATGGTGCCCCCTTATCAAGGTGGACCTCCGCGACCTCCTATGGGAATGAGACCTCCTGTAATGTCTCAAGGTGGCCGTTACTGATCTTACTTCATCCAGTCTAATAGGTTTGGAGATTAAACCTTTTCTCAACTTGTGCTGTTTATATAGCCAAGCTTCCGTCAATAAGGCTTCATTGTGACTTTAACAAACATAATCTTCCCACATACCAGGAACTATTGGACATTTAATTTACATGGGAAATATTATTTGGAATAATAAACAGGAACTTTTCCTGAGGTTGCAATTTATACTGTATGGCTTCTTTTTCATGTTTCATCTAGGTTTTTAGAAGTGAAGTATAGTAAATTTGGTTCCTAAAATTGTGAAGGCGCTGGAATTACATGAACATACCACCTTATTAAAGGCAAGTTCTGTAAGCTTACATTGCTATTTGTAAAGTTATGCCTTCACAGCATTTCTAATGCTGTTGGACTTCATGTCCCCAACCTAGCTTGGTGAGGGCTGTAACTGTTCAAGTACCCTGTACATTGGAAGTCTGAATGTGTAACGATATTTAATGTATTTAGAATTCCTCATGTTGCAGGGTTTAAGGAATTTGACCTACCGTGGTCATGTGACTTTTCTGTACTGTTCAACTTCATTGTAATAAAAAGAGAGAAAAATTCATGCCTTTTTATTCATAACCCAGCTGTGGACCACTGCCTGAAGGTTTGTACTAATGCATGCCCCTAGTAGATGTTCACATAATAAAAGTTTTAGTTACTGCTGCAAATTGCCATAGAACTGGATAGATGTTCCTTAGCTGCATGTGTTCAATTGCATAATATATATAGACGTGTATTTCAATGGTCTAGTTAGCAGAACAGCTTTCATATATAGGAATCATTATATAATGGAAATGACATCTTTATATTGTGTCGTCTTTTCATCACTTTTGGTGTTAGCTTATTTCAGAAGTTAGGGCTTCTGAATGTAAAACTTGAAATGTGAACCTTAATACTTTGGCCTGCTGACATATTTAGAGCCAAGTGCCAGACCTGATCATTTTCTTTTGATTCTAAGATTTCAGTGCTGCATGGACCTCAGAAGCCTTTCGGGTGCAAACTTCTAGAAGCTTAGGTGCATGCAGTGATAGCTTCTTGTGGTGTAATGGGTTGATGTGATTCATTCTTGGTGTGACACTGGGAATCTTCTTAGGGTGGCTAAAAGGCTGAAACTAATCAGTAGTTTGCAATTCTATTCCTGCAGGGTTTACAGTATTTATTTGATGGGATGGGTACTCTGTTAATAATGCTGGATAGCTTTACTGTTAAACCTGTATCTATGACAATGTAAAATGTCAGCCACTTTCCAGCATGGAATTTGTAGAGAAGATTGCTCCTCAATATTTCCTGTTGCAAGCTTTTGTAGACCTTTGCTTGAATCTGCTTTTCTGAGCTTTTGCAAAGTAGTTATTTATGAAATTACCTATACAAAATAATAGTGAAATGAAATTAACTTCTTCCAATTCCAGAATTAACACTTTAGAAATGGTAACATTTCTTTTTATGTGAAAATACAGATAGCACATGAGGCTTCAACATTAGGAAAATATATTGAAAAATGTTGTAACCATATATGGCTATCTGTGTAAGTGATGGGTACACTCAGTACATTTAAACACTATGAAATGTGATTGTTGTTTTAAATCTTTTACTTTACTGACTGGTTTTATAACTCCTGTGCTGCAGTACAGTTGGATGTGCAAAGCAGTTGGGTAGTTCAAAAGCGTCCCTGTGACAAAGGCATGTCTTGCCTACAGCCAAGCCCTCGGAACATAAACCCAGGCACTCCAGCATATATGCCAGTCTCCTAAGTCGTGTCTCAGCTGGGAGAAGCATCTGCTCCAGCATACCATACTAGTTAAATATTTCAGTATGTATATTTAGATTTGTCAGTACAATTTTCATACTGCCAAGCCCATGAAAATTTGTGTAAATTTGTGCCTCTTTGCCTCCCTCCAACCCCACCAATTGTGTGTGTGAGAGAAAGCATCCCAATCACTTCCCAAATGCTTGTAGCTTCCCTGAAGTTCAGATCTGGGAATTCAATCCAGTTTTTCAGGTGGGGTCACATGAATAGTTATCTGGGCCATCACTGGAGTCTACTTTGGCAGAAAGCTACAGTTAGTAGCAGAGCTGGATAATGCAGGGAACGCAGGGTAAAAATGACGTAAGTAAAATGGAGAATGGTTAAACAGGAAATGTCTTCTAGTGGAGATCAAACTGCAATTTAATCAGAGTAAACCAGTGTCTTCTGGGAAAGGTTTTTGCTGAGTGTCTAAAGGGAGAGAACATAGCTTGTGCGTTTTAATGATGATTATAATTGAAAGTGGTACTGCATGATACTTTAAAAAGATTAGCTTACAATTTATGTTTATAGCCATATAATGCAAAGGTGGTGCTTCTTATGTAAAATGGTTTTTGCAAGCATCAAAGCATAATTAAGCTTCTGGAAAATTACCTTTACCTGACTGCTTCTGGGGTCCATAGTATAGCCGAATTACGAGCAGATTGCGTAGGGACAGGTGAGGGCAGGAGAACTTGAGCTGACCTTCCCAGAGGTCATGTGAAAACTAATGTATTCAGGCACAAGTACACTTGGGTAGGGGTTTTAGTTAAGGTCACTAGGGCTGGCAGCCATGGCTTTACCTCCCATCTACTACGATACTTAGCACAGTTGAGAAGCAAAAACGACCTCAACATTTTTTTTTTCTGGCACTAATTTTCTACCATGTATGTTTTTCTGCTGTTTGAGAATAACAGGACCAGCAGATTAGGATCAGCATTTTGAGTGTCCACTGGAATAAACGTTTGTTTTTGAATACTTAGTATTTTGCTAATTTCACGCATTTGTCATTAGAAAAGGGGAAAAATACTCGCATACTGCTATTCCACTGATCAAGTCATGTGTTTAATTTTAACGCATTTGGGGAGGAATTCCCAGCAAAATTGTGTGGGTTCAGAATGGAATTGTAGTAGACAGTAGTTTTGGGGGTTTTTTCCTTTTGTTTGTTTTTTTTTTTTTTTAAGAACTATTATTTTTTTTTTCTTTGCTTGCTTGATCATTGGGATTTTTTTTTTTTTTTAGATTTAATGCATGTCTTTTAAATTAATTGGGTAATGTTTTCTAAAATTAAAATTTTCTTCTTCCTATAGCCCTGCCATAGGACAGGCTGAGGCTGAGTCTCAGTGTTGCCCTGTTCAGTCTGAGGCAAGTGGGATTTATTTTATTCCTTATAGGGGCTTTCACAGCTTTATGGCTGTTGGATATTTATGTCCCCAAACTTGCAGCAAGTTTGGTGAAGGCCCCTAAACTTAAGTAAACTTAGGATTTTTATACTCTATTGGCAGAGAAGGCTCTATATTAATATTCACGTTTGATTGTGGTGTTAACGAGCATAGTTACTACTTGAATATGTAATTTTATGTAATTTACTTTGCATTACCTGGTACTTAAACAGCTTCAGTTAAGCTTGTATTATTATATTGAACTTTAGTAAATTGACAAAATTGATGTTATAGATTTGGAGGTATGAATTGTTTCAAATTTCCATTTTTGTTTTTAGGAAAATCTTACTGGTTATTTTCTCCTCAGACCATTAAATTTAACGTCAAGGATAAGTTTAATCATTGGTAATGTCTTGGATACTGAAATCTGCATTCTTAATCCCAAGCTTACGTATTGAGCATTATGGTTGAGAGGTCATATGGAAATGCTTGTGACTTTGATATTTTCAGATATCACCACATTAGAGCAAATGTTAATGTAGAGCCCTGTGTAAAGTCGCAAGATGGTGTATGTGTGTGTGTGCTTGTGTGGCATATATCAATGTGGACAGCATATTTGATAGACTAAAAAGATAATAAAAGAGTTTGGAACTATAAACATGAGTTTATTACTAGTTTTTCATGTGACCAAAAAATGGATGATGATATATTACAGGATGTTACATTTTTCAGCCTCACTGAGCAGCGTTTCAGTAATGGGCTGTCTGTAGGAGGTGCAGGGGGTAAGGAGGAAGTTGGGAAAAGACACCAAAACACAAGCCAGGGTTATGTTTGATAAGTGGTGTTTGAGCCCCATACTATCTGGGTAGTACAGCATTCTACCAAATGCAGAATTGTGCATGTGTGATATTCATTCTGCGAAGTATTAAACAAATTCATGCATTAATTGTATCCTAAAATTTTGATCTCCTGGAATAGACTGTACTATACTTTAAAATGTTACTAAGTGTGGACAAGGATTTTGTATTTTTATAAGGAATATTTTATAACTTAATTACATATTTAAAGACTTCTTAATTGGAGATCTATTTGCTGGTGTACCCATTATTCTCCAATACACTGACATCTCTAAGTTTACATGTCCTAATTCAAACGTTGGCGATTGGAATAAATACAATTAAAATAGGCTTTTGGCCTGCCTGAGTGCTGCAAGAGGGGAGAATGTTCTAATGGTGCCATAATACATTGAAGCTGACAAAAACCTCATTTAAGATAGAGCGTGCTGTTGTGGTTCAGGTACCAAATTGTGCACTGCTAAGTTTTGGCAAATGCAAGGAAAAGATGACATTACTTTACAGGGATGAGGTTTTGTTTGGCCAGTTGCTTAAAACATGCGTAGTATTTACTAGTTAGTGGATAAATTAGAAACATGAGCCTTAAAGTTTTCTGTAAATCAGACATACCTTGTTTTCATAGGTTGTATTTACCTACATAAAATTGTGAATAATATTTTGCCATTCTTCCCTTAAGAAGGGTTTTTCCATTGAAAGCAGAGGTCTAATATGCAAACATCCTCTCAGTTCACTTCTAGCTGGCTGTCTCATAACAGTGAAGGTGATCTTTTGTTTAACCCCTCAGTGCTTTGGTATCTGTGGCCAGAAATACTTAAATTGTGACCTTTTTTTTAATGAAAGAAATTATCTGATCTTTCCATGTGATGCCAAAGCAAGCACTTATTTTAACAGTATTGTGTACCCCGACACATAGTAGGATGTGAAACTTCTGCAGTGTTGAATTTAGAAAACTACAATCTTAGCGGAGCTACTTCAGTTGAAAGGATAGGGAATTAGAAAAGTTAGCACTTGAGTTTGAGCTACAAAGTGAAATTTTGTTGCTGAATTTTGAAATAGAATAGCACAGGTTCTCTGAAATGGAGCCTTTCCTGGCCAGGTTCTGTGAGCAACATATACTTAGTTACTAGAATCTGTTTATGAGGATTAATCGCAGAAGAAATATTGTTGAGTAAGCTGCCTTAATGGTTGCGTGGATGCCACCCATGATGTTTAAGGGAATGTGGCACAGCTTTAGTAATGTACTACAACTGTTGTCAGGAGTTTGTGTAAGTAAAGACCTTTTGACTTTACCTTGGGTTGAAGAACCTTTTTGTCTTTTTAAAATTTGAGGAACTGGCAATGAAAATCATTTCATGCCCAATTTGGATAAAAATGAAATTATTTCCCCAGAGTATTATACATACATCATTAGTGGCAAAGAAACACCCCATATACTAGGTTTATACTTAAATAAAATGGAAAGTATACAGTTTCCTTAGTTTTATGTGATTTAGCAGTCCTTTAGTTTTATTTGGAACGCAAAGCTAGACAGGTATCTTACATGTGCTGGTTCAGTCATAAATGACCTTAGTTAGGGACTGAGGGGGGTCAGAGTAGGAGTTGTCCTATTTCCTTAATGGCAGGAAGGGTCCAAGGACTTGAACCATCTTTCCACTGCTTAGCAGTTTTCTAATTGGAAACCAAAGTGGACAGGTTTTCAGTATCTTTCTTGATAGCTTAGTTCAGTAGAAGAGCTACTGCTAAAATTTGAATTGGAGAAATATGAGCCATCATTAATGCTTTGTTAACATGATATTCATACATAACAGTTTGCTTCACAGCTCATGTTTAAAAGTTACAAGCCAATAATATCTAGTTTTTATTAAAATGAAAGGCTTAAGCTTTTTCCGTAGATGGATCTATGTGTTAATTTAGAAATTCCCTTCCTACGCTAATCAACTATGTAAACATCAAGAATACAATTTGTTAAAATCCTCGTTTTGGGTTATAGGGTTTGCCTGTTTACTAAAGATTTCTATCAGCTTATATAATGCAGTACAACAAAGATGTGGCCTGAGAAATTTGTTATTAGCTCATTCTTACGAAGTTAAAGTTTTATAGCCAGCAAAAGAAATTTTGTTTAATCTTAGGGAAAGATTTTGAATGTATTGATAACGGGCTCTGAGGAAACGTAATGCACATTGACTTTTTAAAAGTATGGATTGAACTCCTTAGTTTAATACAATTTGTGTTTTTGTTAACTAGCAGCAGAATTTCAGCATTTGCTACTTACTGGTAGAGAAGAAAAATCCCACAGCCCTGCCAGTACAGGTTAGTTTAATCTGTAAGTACCTGATGTTCCTATTTTTTTTTTTAAACAAACATATCCATAAAACCCACACAAGGAAGAAAAGCTTTGCAGTTACTTGAATGGGAGTGTGATAGATGCACTTGGGCCAAAGCAAGTCTAGGTTTGCTAACCTTAGGTGTAATAAAGGTTTAGTACTGTTCCTTTATTATCTGGTCATGACTGAACCTAGGTAAATTTGTTGTGCGTTAAAGGAAAAGACAAAGTTTTGATTACCTGTGCCCATATTTGTACATAATGCAAAGTTTAGGACTTTGATCAAGAGTCTGAGACCATTCATAGTGGTTCTCACATTCACCTTTTTACTTTTTAGAATGAACCAACCTAAGGGGGAAAGGCATTTCCTCGCCTAACAATAAATAGAAAATGCTTTCACAGTGTTTATTCATACATGTTTTTGTTAGCACAAGTGAAAAAGGTACTCATTTTTGTTTGTCACTTTTGTAGCTGTAACTTTTACCTAAATACTCAATTGACATCTTGCTATACACGTCAAGAAATCTAGCTGAATTCTGTAATCCTTTTTAGGGACAGTGAGAATGTAACAGGTTGGGAAATATTTTATCACTTTTATTTTCCTGAGTATTAATTGTCTGAAGCATCCGTGAGCAATTTCCTTTACCCTTAAATACTGTGTTTTTATGTTGACATAAACTTGCAGCACAGAGGAACAAGGAATAAAGCACACAGCTTAATATCCACCACCCAGAGCTATGCTTCCACTCTAGCAATTATGCTAGGATGTGGCTTCCTCTGCACCCAAGTGTGATCTTGTCTAGTTGTAAAAGTAGTTCATCTGTTATGATGGATGGTAAGTAGCCTTACCAAGAATAACTCCTCTATATCTTAAATGAAGTCATTAAATTTAACATAGGCTATATTCAACAGGTAATTAAAATATTTGATAAGATCCATTTGTGTTTTTAATAAATTACCAAGAGAATAAGTTTCATTGCCTTTCGCAGTTTATTGTATGTATGAAATGGCATTGATATTCAGTGGAAATGGTTTTCCTTAAAACCATCTCTTAAAAAGCTGCCTCTCTGGTGAGTACTTTTTTTATATTTTTATATTTCAATTTCATCTTACATTGAGCCAAAACAGCACACCTTATTTAAAAGTAAACTAGCTGAGTGTCTACATTTGTGGAATCAGGAATATTAAATAAAGATGACTACCATTTCATTGTTTGGCATTTTCTCGCTAACCCTGAGTTGCTTTTTCCCTACACTAAACACAAATAAAAGTGCTTTGACTAATTGTTCCCTTTTGGTGAGATTGGTTATCTAGCTTTTTAGAGCCTATTACAACTTAATACTTTCTTTTATGCTTACAAAATGTATTTTTCTCAATGTTTCTGGTTCCCAACTTATATAGGTCTTAAAAAAATCAAACATCAGGACTTCTTTTCGTTCTTGGCATACAGTTTGTTGCATTGTTTGAGCAACAGTTAAGTGGGATTGGGATGAAAAGAGGACTTACTATGATTGGTCTAGCAAACCAGCGTTTTCCAGCTGCATTGTTTCTGAATTTCATTTAGCCCTTCTAAAAACTTGGCATAGAAATATTGATTTTTCAAAGTAGATGTAAAGGTGAAAATTAGTATGACTTATAATACATTTATCACCACCGCCACCACCCTTTTCGCTATACTGTGGTTTTTTTTTTTTCCCCCATTTAAGTTTTTAGCCAGATCTTAAATAAATTCAGTAGTTGTATCTTAAAGCTATTTTTATACTGTGCTTTCTGGTAAGATTTTTGTGAACCAGCAGTACTCAACTCTGATTGATTCTAAAATGTATGGATGTGCTACAGTAATGCCCTCCTGTAGTAAATTTTTAAGAAACTGTTGGTTCCTATCCGGATAACCCAGACAGTGACAGATGGTAAGTATGTAAGTTTAAATGTATGTAGTAGTGGTGAGACTGAGTTGCCAACATTCCATACTTTAAGATAGTATTTAAAAGTGAGCAAGAATTCTTGATATCTCCGTTGTATGCATGTCTGATATTGTTATACGTTTTCATGCATAATTAGTAGTTGAGTGTTTTACTGTTTTCTATGATACTTAATTTATACTCTAAGGTTTTTTCAGCTTATAATTAAAAGGCTGTTAAAAAATCCAATGCTTTTAAAATCCAGTGCTATATGTTCACTTGAAGTCTTCCATCACTTTCCACCTGTAATTGAAACTGACAGTAGGCAGCAAATTAGATGGAGGGGTGTCTGCTGCTTCTGGAATGCTGCAGCAAGCATATGGACAGTGGAAAGATGTGAAACTGAAACTTGTTTTCTGTTAAAGCAGGTTTTTTTTTTTTTTATTAATGGAGAAGCAGTGATGGAACTTGGGAGCCTTGCCCCATCCTGCCATAATAATGAGAGAATAAATTAAATTTTCAAACTGATGACTGGTGCTGCTATAACAAGAAGGGTTGTTTGTTTCTGGAAACAGATGTATTTGTTAGCATGTTGTATCATTGCTCCTGCTGAGGAGGGATATGCTTGGCGTGATGGGAAGGGCCTCAGTGGAACTGCTTGGGGAAGATGAGATCATTGTACAGCATTAGATGTCACACCTCAGGACGCCAGCCCACTGCAGGTTACAATAAATGCTAAGTTTTGCTCACCAATGATAGTGTAGTCTTTATATTAGGATTAAATTGGTAACATCAGTGATATTAGTGCATCTTGCCATGTTGATGGGTTTAATTGACCAAGTTGCTGGAAACTAGTGCAGAACAAAAGCGGGGAAACATTTATAATTGCATATTTAGTTTCTGTCTTTGGTTAGGATTTGGGAAGATAGGTCATGAGCAAACTGGAACTCACAAAGAATGGTGAAATTTGTTTCATTGGTTGTGGGTCAGTGGAGGGTGTGTACAGGGAGTCACAAATTCTGTTTCAAATAGTTGCTGTTTTCCAATCAGTCTCTCACTTCAGTTACACATTGAAGCTTTTTGCTTCACAAATTATTAAAATCACTTGTTAGGAGGGGATGGATTGCTATTGTCATGTGTGCCGGAGTGGCTGCTTAAAAAGATGAATAAATATTACTTACAACACTTGTCTGAGTGAGCCCTCTTTTTTGTGTCTGGAATAGTTGAGCTGATTTACAACTTCATCCATCCTTGGTAAATTTGTTGAGTCCAGGAGTTAAAACTTGAAACCGACCACAGCGTGTCTACACGGAGGTTGATTTTGGAATAGGGCATGGTGAGATAGTATTGGTGTATAAAGAGCAAGATGTAGCATAGCTGGAAAACAAGCATGACTGAGTATGCTGCTTCAGTAATTATGGACACATAAAAACAAGTTACTAAGTTTCAGAATATGGGGTGGACAGTTTACTGACTGGATGTTTACCATGTGTATCTGCACACAGTGAATATTGTAAAGCCAATAGGAAAAAAATGCTTATAAAGCCTGAAATTCCAAAGATTTTGTAGTAAAATTCTATTATTGGAAAGGCACATCAGCTATTTGGAAAGAAGCAGAAGTATCATCACTGGTTCTGTTGGTTCCATTGCACAAATGGCCATAAGTAGCTGAAACAAAGCAAGTCGGGAAAAGCAGTTTTACAGAGAGGAGACAAAAAGAAGCTCTTCCATTTGGTTCACAACCAGAGTTGAGCCAGTGTGCAGTGAGGAGCCAAGTATTTCTTCCATGTCTCCCTTTTGGGTGCAGGGCCCCAAGGCTCTGGGCTGCCAACTTCTTTATAGGCCTCAAACCGAGGCAGGTGAATTTGAAGAGGAACTGTCAGAATACTGATGACTCCCATATGCGATCCATTCATTTGTAAGGTTACAAAGGCTCATTTTAAGTTCTACTTGCACAAAATTGATAATGATGTTATCTCCATTGGGATTTTCTCAGTTTACCTTTCATGCACCGGAGTAGCATCTAGGTGCCACTTATAATCCTGGCAGCCCTGCTTCCCATCCAGCTCCCTGCTTGAAGGTTGGGAAAAGAAGTGGGAAACGCCCAAGGCTCCTGGCTTCCGAATGGCGCAGCTCTGGCTGTTGCGTTTGCTAGGGAAGTGAATAGATCTTCCTCTGTCCTCTATATCAGACTCCTATGAAGATATTAAAATTCAGCTTATTTCACAATAGTGAAGTATTGGTAGTTTTGTAAAAAAAACATTGCAAAGTCATACACAGAGGAGACTGGAAGATCTTCCATCTGATGATTCCCTTAGTGGCTACAATTGCTGCAGCTTAGCACACAAAGCAAGAAGCCAGTAGCCTCTTATGGTTCTCCCACCTTGGTACAGGGAGGGTCTGAAAGCTTTAGGTTCTCTTCAACTGCTTTCCCAGGCCACTAGCAGGGAACAGGATGGGAAGTGGAGCTGCCGGGATTAGAATTGGTGTCCCTATGGAATCGTGGTGCACTCAAGGCAAGGACTTCAGCCACTAGGACACTGCACTGGACCCTGTAGTTTTTTTTAAAAGACTAAAGTGTCAGCATGTTAATAGTTTAGTGATGACAAAAGACTACAAATCCACTTGAAAGTTCATATTAATCAAATCGCACTCCAAAAATCCTGTAACTCATTTTCAAATATCCTGTTTGATGGCTGGTATTTCAAGACATTTTTCCTAAGAATTTCCACAAGTTGGGTTTTCTATTATTTGTAACCAGTGTAAGTGAGCCTGACAAATTCAGTTAAACTTGACATGAAGTAATTCCCTTGGGCACTACGTGATGGCCTAGTGGCTAAAATTCTCTGCTTGCACATTCTGGGATCCCGAATGCACACTGGTTTGTATTCCAGGTTTTCCATTTCCCTTCCAGCTCCCTACTTGTGGCCTGGGAAAGCAATGGGCGACTTCCCAAAGCCTTGGCACCCTGCACCTGTGTGGGAGACCCAGAAGAAGCTCTGGGCTCCTTGTTTGCTCAGTCCCAGCCATTCTGGCCACTTAGACAGTGAAGCTGCTGATGAGATATTTGTATCTTCCTTCTTTATTAAGATACACATTTACAATTTGTCCTTTTTAGGAAACTAATGAAAAAAACTTCGACTACCTACCACAAATATACAATCTGAATTTATTTTTTTCACTTTTTCTTTCCCAGATGAATGTATAATCTTGTGCTTTTCCTATAGTTAGTGTTGTTTACATAATAGAGGAATTCTGTCTCTGACTTTGCAATAAGAAGTTTTTTAAAAAATGAGAATATCACTAAAGGAAGTGAATGCTGTGGTTTCATCTTAGTAAAAGCACTGCTAGGGAGTTGTCCCATTTGAAGTGACTGTGCCCCCTGCTGGTCCAAAAGGGACATGACTAACAGCAGAGCAGTTTCCCCAGTTGATCTAAGGGTCACTCAATGCAGATTTCCTACCCAGGGGAGGGAGGACTTCTGGAATTCTGTGGAGATTGACAGCTTCCAGTGTAACCCTGTCCAGGTGAGGCCGCAGGGTTGAAGTTGAGTCTGAGTTGAATTCTAGTTGAATTAGTGACATGACACCAAGAATTTGAGAAATGCTGTGTAATCTGAGTTTGCAGGCGGCTGGGGACAGCAAAGCAAGATTTATATGACACCTGCAACAGTCAAGGAGACTTCAGGGAAGGAATACCCATAGTACCTCACGGGATTAACATGATTTTGGACCGTTAGATAACATTTCAAAGGGATAAAAGCATTGGAGCACTTTTTCTACAAAATGATTTTTTTTTTAATTGGAAAGGCGGATATACAGAGAGGAGAGACAGAGAGGAAGATCTTCCGTCCAATAAATTCACTCCCCAAGTGAGCACAACGGCCGATGCTATGCCGATCCGAAGCCAGGAGCCTCTTCAGGTCTCCCACACAGGTGCAGGGTCCCAAAGCTTTGGGCCGTCCTCGACTGCTTTCCCAGGCCACGAGCCGTGAGCTGGAAGGGAAGCAGGGCAGCCGGGATTAGAACCGACACCCATATGGGATCCTGGGCGTGCAAGGCGAGGATCTTAACCACTGCACCATCATGCCGTGCCCCAAAATGAAATCTTGAAAGGCATTGGATCATCATCCACATTGCTTCTGTCCTTTCAGGTACTCTTGAAGACAAACTTAGAATTGTTGACTCCATTTTGCACTATCCCGAGGGAGGAATTGTTAAGAAACATTCTGTCCCTTGAGTTACTGGTGACAGAACTAATCCTGAAAGTTCCAGATGCTCGAGTTGATTGTTCCCAACTGAGAGGAAGGCACATTTTGTCTTTTGTGTTTTTCTTTATTTCTTTTTTTTTTTTTTTGGTCTTATTAGGGTTAAAGGTCTTAGGATCAGATCACTGCATTTGCCTTGAAGCCTTGAATACTTTTAACCTACTTTAAATTGCTGTCTTGGAGTGGGGATTTAGCCTAGTAATTAAGAAGATATCCTTGTCCAAGTATCAGAGTGCCTATGTTCAACTCCTGACTCCAGACTGCTGTTGATACAGCTCCTGGGAGGCAATGATGGCTCAGTCAATGGTTCTGCCACTATATGGGAAACCTGGGATGAGTTGCTGGCTCCCAGCTTCAGCATGTCCTAGCTCACTTGGGGCCTTTGGGGAGTGAGCCAAAGTATCAATTTTCTTTCTGTCTGATGATTTCATTTAGTTTGAAAGGTTTATTTTCTTGAAGGACAGAGTTACAGAGAATTTGCATATATTGGTTCTCTCTCCAAATGGCCACAATGTCCTGGACTGTACCACTCGAAATCCAGGAGGAACGATCATCACCCAGATTTTCCATGTGAGTGGCAGGAGACCAAGTACTTGAATCATTTGCTGCTACTTTTCCAGGCACACTAGTAGGGAACAGCATGGGAAGAGGGAAAGCCAGGCACTTGAACCAGTGTCAGAGATGCTGGCGTTGGGTGGCAGCCAAACACAATCATGGTGCTGGTCCTGTCTAATAATTTTAAAAATTTAAAAACTATGGGTTTGTAGAACCGTAAGATATCAGAATTAAAAATTGCATTAGAGATCTAGTCTGGATTCTGGGAGGAGTTCATGTATGCTCCAGTTCTGATTCCACTTCGTATTAATGTATCTTGGCCCCCTACCCCACAGTGTGACACCTGGTTGGAATTGAAGGCTCTTGTCAAGGGCTTTCAAATGGCCATTGCAGCCATTTGGATAGTGTTAACAGTGGACTGACAGATCTCAGTCTTTGTGACTCCAGTTTTCAAGGCAATGTCTTCACAGTGACAGGTGAATCACTTGAAGCAGCTGTAGTTTATAGGATATATGTAAGGCGTTAGACCTGGGGCCAGCACATTGCCTCAACTGTCTAATCCTCTACCTCCAAGCACCCCATCTCGTATAGCCACTGGTCTGTTCCAGCTGCTCCATTTCTGATCCTGCTTCCTGTTTATGGCCTGGAAAAGCAGCAGAGGATGGCCGAAAACCTTGGGAACCGGCACACACGTAGGAGATCTGGAAAAGGCTCCTGGTTTTGATTAACTCTGGCTGTTGTGGCCATTTGGAGTGTAAGCCAGGGATGGAAGATCTTTCTCTCTTCTCCCTAACTCTGGCTTTCAAAATAAAGAAGTATATTTAAGTATAAATATATAAATAAGCATATGTAATAAAATACATATTTATAGGCAAATATATATAACAAGTATGTGTGTATATATATATGTATATATATATGTTTTTATGTATTAGAACCTGTAAAGTGGGGCAAATACCATGGCTCAAAAGGCTAATCTGACACATCCAAGTGCCAGGATTCTACATGGGTGCTAATTCTAGTCCCAACTGTTTCCCAATTCCCATCCAGCTCCCTGCTTGCAGCCTGGGAAAGCAGTGGAGGACTGCCCAAAGCCTTGGGACCCTATATCCATCAGTTAGGTCTGGGCGAGGCTAAAACCACGAGTCCAGGAGTCGCATTCTGATCTTGCAGCTTTGTGGCAGGAACTCAGGTACTTGAGTCGCTTTTAGTGCCTCCATGGTACATTCTGAACAGGAAGCTGTCCTGGAATCACAAAGTCACAAGGGCCAGCATCAGACACTCTGCTTTGGGATGTAGGTGTCCCTTGCTCATTGTTGCACCACCCACTTCTCTTTATCCTGTTATTTCAGTGTTTGAGTTTTACTATATTTTTGTTTAGTTGTGTATCTAATTTTAAAAAATTGATTTCTGGGCCTAGGAGCTGAGGCCTCACTTTGAACATACTGGGATCCCATATGGGCTGGTTCTAATCCCGGCGGCCCCGCTTCCCATCCAGCTCCCTGCTTGTGGCCCGGGAAAGCAGTTGAGGACGGCCCAAAGCCTTGGTACCCTGCACCTGTGTGGGAGACCCAGAAGAAGTTCCTGGATCCTGGCTTCAGATAGGTTCAGTGCAGCACTGGCCGTTGCGCTCACTTGGGGAGTGAATCATCGGATGGAAGATCTTCCTCTCTGTCTCTCCTCCTCTCTGTATATCTGTCTTTCCAATGAAAGTAAAATGAATCTTAAAAAAATAATTTCTTTGAAAGAATTACGGGTAGAGAAGGAGAGATAGGGAGGGAGAGATGTTTCATCTGGTGGTTACTCTTCAAATGGCCACTGTATAGACCAGGATCCAGGGACTCCACTCCGTTTTCTGTGGATGAAAGAGTGCCAAGCACTCAAACCATCTGCTAATGCTTTTTCAGGTGCAATAGTGGGAAACTAGATTGAAAGTGGAACAGCCAGGACTTGAGCTAGCATTCATATGGCATCCTGGTAGCACAGGCAGCATCATAACCTGTGCCACAGTGCCAACCGGCTTCCTAGTCTTTACAAAAAGTGACCAACATCATACTGAATTATACTAACATCTGTATTGTTTTTGTGTATCTGCAGTTCATGTGTTATGTTGTGTGACTGTTATAGGTTTTTTATTGCCAAATGTGTCAGAACTTATCCATTATTTCTTTTTTTTTTTTTTTTTTAAA